TATTACAGCGGCCCTTGCGGGGGTAGCGCTACATATATATTTACACTTGGCACAATTCAAGTCAGGCAACCGCCAAACCCAGACACGTCCATCGGATTGCCAGACAGAGAAGTGTGATTTGTCACTCCAGAGAACACGTCTCCAATTCTCTAGAGTCCAGTAGTGGTGTGCTTTACACCACTGCATCCGACGCTTTGCATTGCACTTTGGTGATGCAAGGCTTGGATGCAGCTGCTCAGCCATGGACACTGTTGTTGTGCCAATCTGAAGGCCACACGAAGTTTGGAGGTCCCAATACTTTTGGCAATATAGTTGTCACAGACTCACCCGGCACGTCCCTCCGGTCCAGCGGCGCGTCGTCCCCTCTGTGACGTCACGCCGGGCTCCTCCCACTGACCACGACTCCTCCTCGAATTCACAGGTGAGTCACTCACTCGGCATCTATCGTTGTGGAACGTCGAGCGGGAACCCTGTGCGCTCTACTGAACCCCAACAGCCGTGTTAGCATCTGCTGACCGCAGACTGACATCCAGGGACACGGCAGCATTGGTTATTGCTGCATCTAGCCCAAACCCTATCCCACCTGCTGTAGCTAGCCTGCTTGAGACCCAACACCAGAACCGCAAGTACACTGGGGAATCTTCTTATACCTTAGTTGTTAATTCATCTAAGTTTAGTGGAAACTCTCTGTATCAAAGAACTGTGCCTGTGACTAGGACATTGTTATCGCTACATTGTTATCACTATTGTGGAAAGGCCTGTACCTAGTATCTAGCCGATATCAGGATCGCAACTAAAAGGGGGTCTTCCCTCCATACCTTAGTTGCTACTTCAGCTACATTGTGTGGAATCTCTCTCTCTGTTGTGTGGGAAACTTGTCGTGCAAGCTATAAAGTAGACTACTGTCACTGGGGATCAACAGACTGTATCTAAGATCTAACCATTCATCTGCATACTGCAAACGCATGTAAGTGTTGTTCTGACACTCGGTTGAGGGAATTATTACTCCCCTGTCTGCTAAGAGTATTGTGTATGATTCAGGGAGTCTCAGGAGCACTAGAGACTGCCCTGTTGTAGTGAACCACTTGGGAAACTACAAATCCCATCACGCTGCCACATTATAAAAAATACTGCTATCCAACCTAGCATCCGCCCAAAAATACACCAATTAGGCCGGGGTATATGATGTGTACCGCTTCCCTATCGCACTGAGTGTACTTGGGAACCGTCCACTGATCACCCCTTTAAACGAGTAACAGGAACCCGCTCCGCCGATGTGATCCAGAAAACATTATTCCTCGAAAGAGCCTGACATAAGTGTATATATGTATATCTATATATAGATCAATATACACTGAGTGGCCAGATTATTATGACCACCCCATCAGTACTTCGGGGCGCCATGAGATGACTCCACGAGATGACTTCGTTGGGCCGCCTCGTGACTCCACAAGAAGTTGAAAGGTGATGCGAGGAATCTGACACTGCACTGTTGCCCTTCTGTTGTCTTGTACCAGTCTTGCCACTCTTCGTTCTGCCCTAACATTGACTAGTCGCTGACGGCCACAATTCGCACGTTCAGACCCAGATTTTCGGCTGACAGTCTAGTCTTTAAACACTTTAACAACAGCTGCTCTTGAACATTTAACGAATTCCTTCCCTATTTATAATGGTCTGGCCCTCTAGCAACTTCTATACAAATAGATCTATATATATATATATTCTTGCCTCTATACCGCCAAGCTCCTTTAAAAATAGATCTTTCTTTTTTATACATTTTATGTCGTTGTAAGTTTATTTGTCTGCCTTCTTTCTGCTGAAGCTATAATCTGCAAATAAGTGAATCATGCGGAGAATAAAAATACAGAGAAATCAAAGGGTGAGCACAAGCTATGCAGTGTTCTGGACTGAGAAGGAGATTACTATCAAGTTTTCCGTGTAGCTCATGTGCCCTCTCTGAGCTTGTCACTCTTTAATCTCAGCTGCAATCTAGTGAGTCATAACAGTGAATTCTTTTTCACACTTAATACAATTGGCAAATTAGCATCCATATTAATTTTCTCCTATCTGTCAGTTATATGGTAATTTAACTTGCTTGCCCTACAATGATTTACAGTGACATATTAATTTATCAGCGTGCTTACTCCGGCCAAGACATTTAAAATATAAATCAATAAGTCTGCTAAAATAGGGAAACTAACCAACTTACAATAGAAACATATCTATATTTATAGAGCAATAGAGAGGCCCATAGCTTTTATGAGAAGGAATTTTAACATTTCAAATCAATGGTACACTTATGGCATATAAAAGAAGAATACGACTAAAGTTAGGATGGCCGTTATTAAAGGAGAACTATGAGGTGAGTGATTTCCACTCACCTCATAGTTCTAGCCGACCTGTGATAATGAGACTGTCACAGGTCGGCTCAGTAGATCGGGAGGTGAGCGAACACATACCAGGTTCGCTCACTTCTCGATCCTGTCACGGCTCTCTGCTGGATTCCCCTCTCCGATCTGCCAGCGCTGACTGGCGGAACGGATGGGGGAGGGGGCGGGTACAGCTGGCTCTGCCTCTAGATAGGCAGAGCCAGCTGTCACTCACGCAGCTGGGCGGATCCCGTCATCTACGTCGGGATCCGCTCCGGCTGCGACGTCTCAGCTACAGCTTGCGGTATACTGAGCTTAGGGTAACGGGAGGACGCTAGTTTGTGTCCTCCCGTTACCCTAAGGAGAACTATGGGGAAGAACACTGACCCCATAGTTCTCCTTTAACCCAACGGCATCCTAATTCAGTGACCTAATGCAACCATTGGTCATGGTTTGTGTCATTTAGGGGTACCCATAGAAGGCAAAAACAAGAGCTTGCAGGCCATTCAAATTAAGAAGTTGAAGGATCTTACTTTTCTCATTCTTTGCTCTTCTCCCAGGGTAAGGTTTGTTTACATTATACTGTATGTACTTATGGATACTGAGCTGCTCCTGACCATTCATAAACTAAGGAAATTGTATCAGTTACTATGTCCACAATCATGAATGAAAAGAAAGTGATGTAGAGCACTTCCTATTCATTCATAATTGAAGACACAGTAACTAGAAACAAAGTCCTTAGTTATTTACAAACATCGGTGTGATCAGAACTAATCACACCGATGTTTGAACAGTGCATAGAAGGATCAGAAAATATTTCACATATTTGTTGATCCTCCCCACTCTCCATCCTGAACCTCCCCATTCTCAATTCTGTGTCTGGTGTCTCTGCACACTGATAGCAGGGGTGCAGTACCTCTGTGCAGCCACTAGATGACTGTGCCAACTGCTCAGCAGCTTCTTTCGATGGTCCAAACTGGATGGGGATCAGTCTTGGGGTTGAAGCGGACAGACGAGGGTAGAGTACAGCTTCTCTCTTTCCCGCTGGGCGCCGGCAGCTGGATTGGCTGTGTGTCCCCTCCGATCCCCGCTGTCTCTGCCGACACAGCAGCAAGGATCAGAGGGTACACAGACCGTAGCTTGCAGCCGGTGCCCAGAGGGGATGAGAGAAGCTGATGCACTGCCTTTTCAGCCGTATGGGCATTTTGCCCATAGTACCATTTTCAGCTGAAATGTTTCGGCGGCCGAACTTTTGGTGCATCCCTAATATATATATAATACATTTAATGCAAAGGACCACCAGTGTAGCCAGAAAGGTGTTATTCATAAGCTTGTTTCTCTATTTTCCTAACTAAGCTATCTGCAATTGTTTGCCTTTCAATATTTTAAAATCAGGTTTAAATACACTTCTATTACCCATTTTGGAATAATTGTACAGATAGACAGAAAGACAGACGTACAGTAATTTGTAATTGGCATGCATACTTTGTTTTCATGTAGACGTGCACTGCGTGTGCCCACTGCAAAAAGATATTTGTCGGACTAATAAAAAGGAAAGCGGCATGGGGAAGATTGTCGGCTGCTACCTTTTGTTTTAAGCAATCCCTCTGGTACACTGCCAGCCTGAAGCTGTGAGGGTGGAGTCTGCCTCATATGGCCATAATTTTCAATGAGGCAGCCTGAGGGGGACCATGACCACCCAACCTGCGCTGGACGACAAGCAAAATATGCAGTGCTGATAGCTCTCAGAGTGCAGATATTAGGCTGGCATGTTCTTAAAGGAAAAAAATAGAATGTGTTTTGGTTTAGTTTGTTATTTTTATTGAAAGTTTACAAGTTTATTAACTCATGTTCATGTATATTTTTGTTATATTTATATAACAACATTACTTAACAAGCATTTCATACAGGGTTGATCCATGAGAGTAAGTCTGCAAAGCTTCCTAAAATTGGAAGAACCAACCTAAACTCTGCTTCCGAAGACTGTAAACATATGTGCAGACACATCTCAGCACCTGCATTAACATTCCATTGACACTTAATAATGTTATATTTAACTACAGGTACACTTTATGTATATTTGATCTAATTTCCCTAGTTTTCACTCAGTACAGACAGTTTACTCTGCTGATTTATGATCAATATACACCTATTACTTTTCTGCATTGACCAAGGAAGAAGACAGAACTGCTTATTGTGTCCATTTTTACATTCTAAAAGTGCAGTGTAAATCACACATATGCAGTGGGGAGACCCACCAACAGCACAGTCTTGAATATGAATGAGTGTGCCTTTAGTGACTAATGCTATAAAGGCAGGTTTATGGCTCCATGACTCTTACCAGAAATGCAAGGTCCTCTTGTTACTACTGTTAAATGTTTCTGCTGTTTGCAGGCAGATCTCCTCAGGAAGCATTCGTTTTGGTAAGTGTCTCCATTTGATCCACAAACTGGTACATAATTTGTTCCACACTGCAAAAAACATTAAACATGCATCTGTTAAAGAGCAAACAAATGCTAAGTTGGGACACTACTAGCACCCTAGAAGCTAGCGTACATCCTTATTCCTAGCCCACACATGCACAATGCACTCATCCTCATCCTGTAGCAGCAAAAGCTGCGGATGATGGGAGAGAGCTCCTAACGGTTGGCATAACCAGGAACATGTGCATTCTGGGCTGATTACCTTAGTGGGAGATTTCCTGGCAGGCTTGGAGGATGCCCCTCATGGCCTAATGGTTAGGCTTTTAAAATAAGGACAATATTGCAAAACAGCAAAACATTTTTAACACACTAGGGTACCCAGACTATATAGTCTTTTTTCTTAAAAATGGTGAACTTAGCCTTTATACATTTGAAAGTGCACCTATGTTCAAACTATGGACATTAAAGTATTTACATATTAAGAATATCAAAACAAGTCATCTCTGACCTCTCTAGCTAGATCAAAGATCACAACAAATGCTTTAAGGGTCTATTCACACCGCAAAGCATACGCATTGACATGTGCAGACCATGTACATTGTGGTGTATTTTTGCGTGTGCTGTGATGTGCTTATATTTACAAGTGCTGCACTAATTTTTTTTTAAAAGACACAGCATGCTGTGGTACAATAAATGCTGCATGTGCTTTGACCAACACTGCCCAACGTACTGGGTGTAAATAAGCCCTAAAGTTGGGTTTCAATTAGTTTCTAACTGCTTGGAAACACCTTTTATGTGCTTACATTATAGGGCTGTTCTATAGGACTGCCTATATTCTCTTCTGTAAATAAAAACAGTGAAAACCTCTTTTGTAACTCTTAAAGATGAATTTCTCCACAATGCCTATAGCTACAGAAGTAAATGAGGGCTTGTTTTAAAGTGATTTTACATAAGCTTTAGAATACTTGTGTACATAGTCTGCGCATAGGTTCACTTCAACTAATTATCCTATACATATACAATTTTTATTTTTTATAAATTTACTATTTAACTGCCAAAAGACTTTATTATCACTAAACGTTTCATCCAAATGTCATTTTTTGCATTAATTATTTTCAAATGCAAGCATAAACAAAGTGTTTTTTTTAATAAAACTTACCCTTGCAATGAGGCTACTGCAAGGGTTAAGTGCTCGTTTTGGTCTGGGGCGCAAATAAAAAAAGATATATGCACCTGATTATACGTGATAACTTTAGAGATCCTAAGGCCACCAGAGTTCAGGGAAAATGTGGCTGTGGGAATCAGTCTACCAGTCAGATAGGAGCGATGATCAGGTGAGTATACCCTATTTATTTGAGCCTCTAGACCAAAATGAACACCTAACCCTTGCAGTGCTGGGGGTAGCCCCACTGCGAAAGTTAGATTTGTAGTTCCTGGAATGCCTTTTTTTAAAAATGTTAGTCAAACCCTTCAGTTTTTTTGTTTTTTTTACATTAACCCTTCATTGTTTGTATAATCATTAAAAGTATCTAAACCCAAAAACAAAAATCTATACATTACATCTGACCTTTCCTTTTATGTGGTGGCTGCATAAGCTTTTGTTTGTAAAGTTTTCTTATACTTTTTCACCTGATAATTCTGGCAGTAACACACTTCCTGACCTATGATGACAATGCTTGCACTTGTATAAGGACAAAAGAAACAAAATAGGACCACAGAACCCTACCTCTCTACTATTGTCCATAACATAGAATGGAGTAGTTCTGTAGTCCTCAGCAGGGGCATCCCAAAGTTGGGTGACACCCGGAGCGGTAACCGAGTGTTACCCCGCCGAGACATCACCACGCATGCGTGTGTCGTCACCAAGCACGTGCGCGATGACGTCATTGCGCGTCAGTATTCTGATACCTGACGGCGGCCATCTTGGTGATGGACACCGGCAGAGAGAGAAGGGGACAGTGCCGCCGGGTCCCCTCCTCTCTCCTGATACTGTCGGGCGTTCGGTCCATGACCGAGCGCCCGACTTTTCAGACTGTAAGTCATTTTGGTGTCACCCCTCCACGACGCCACTGGTCCTCAGAGCTAACTAAAAACATTGTAACTGAAAATAATCAGCACAGGCAGAGAGCACAGGAAGTTATAAGGCTCACAAAAGTTCTGGCAACATCAACAGGCATTTTTTTAAGATGAACTCTGGGCACAAAAACATATCTGGGCAAAACTCTGGGCATCAAAGCCACAAATTATATAAATCCACTTTGTGTGCACCAAATGCCTTTGCAAACCCAATTATTATCTTTCATGTAGCAATGACATCATCAAACATAGGCTATGCAGAGATGAAGAGACATATGAGTAACCCAAAAGGCCACCCCCTACAGGCTGATACAGAAAACTACAGGAGGGGGCGGACACAAGACCAGTAACCCTGCACAAGGAGAGAAAGCAGCAGTGACTGGTCTTTATTACAGGGAGCTCCTGCACAGAGGCAGCGCTTCAAAATGAATTACTGCGCAGAGCATGCAAGATTCAAGTAAAAATATGCATTCCTGTTGTATTAAGACAATATTTATTTTTCCCAGACTTCAGCTTTAAATGATCAAACAGATTTAAGAAAGTACTTTCAATGGTGTATTAGAACAAAAGAGACCAATTAAGAGAAGTTCCTTGTTAGGGTTTAGATATGCTTTAAGGCTCTAAATATATTGCACTACAAGGTGTCCTTCTTTCCCATCTCCGAAAGTTGTGAGGTTTGGCTGGATTATAAAAGCACAGAGAGTATCTTTATATGCAGTATCTTTGAAGACCACATAGATCAGACAGAACTCCAATATACCACTGTCCCCTCACAGGACTTTGGGGATATAAGAAAGGTTTACTGCCAGCAGAAGAGATTTTCTTTTAAAATGCCTAAACCTCTCTTCCTCCCCCTCCAGCCTAGTAGGTAATCTCCATGACTTGGAAGGATAATTTTACAAAGCTGACACATTCTACATACCTGACTTAGTTATAACATTTTCCATGTAACCTTTATGACCTTACATATCTGGTAACAAGAACTAGGCTGTAAAAAACCAGCGAGGAATGAAAAATAAAAAAACATGCAATTAAAAATTTACAGGAGAGTAACACTAGACATGATTACAAATATTACCGTTGAAACTCAAGTTTTAACAATAAGTCATCTTGAATTACTGCTTTGTATCTCGTTTTACATATTCTGAACAAATAGGTTTGTGCATATATTAGCCACAGAAATTATGCGTGGAAATGCGTCGTTGCTCCTAATTCTGCAACAGCAGCAATGTGCTATCAGAAACTAAAGCTGGCAATACAATGAGTTTTGTCTCAATCAGCCTGTGGACTGAATGAGAAAAAATTCTCAATTCCCTGATTCATGCTGACAGCATGGATGGGGAGCCCCAGTGCCTCCAGCGATGTATTCTGACAGCAGCAGGTGTGCCACTGTCAGAATACCTCAACAGTAACTACAGATGAACAAAAGTTGATTGAAAGAACGACATTTGTCGAATGGAGGGGTTCTGACAGGGCCACACACTGTTTGATTTTTGGCAGCAGGACTTGGCAGAAATTTTACAAGTGCATGGCTACCTTAAGTATAAGGTATAACCTGTCCCTAATTACTGTCAGTAGAGTACAACCTATACAAGCTCTGCCCATTGAATCAAACAATGATTACCTTACCTCAAACTGGCAGTAACACTTCAGTACACCTCCATCTTCTTTGCACACACCTTCATATTTACACGTTGATTCATCACACACTCGTACTTCAGACTGCCTCATATTCAGCTCTACAAAAGAAAAAGAAAGGACACATATTGTAATAGTCATGATATATATAAGTATGATAGAATCCACATATCTAAACCTCCCAACATATCTTTAATGATCTTCTGCAGTCTTCTGTACAGTATTTAGTGAGAGTGTGGGGTACACTATACGGTGGGATAAAAGCTGAACAGCGAGTTACCTAATTAAACCATTTACTTTACTAAACAAATGTTAACCTTAACATGGTTAGATGTATATTATGTTCCACTACTCATATTTTTATTCTTTTGTTAAAATTGGGGGGTGTATGCAAATTTAAGCTATCACTTATAAATCCAGGAAGCTCCAAGAAAATAAAAACATGTTATTAAGAATTGCGAGAGCCTGTGAGATATCTTCATCTTGTGTTCTTCTGCAAGCAAGTGAACCTCTGTTGAGGTGTGAAGTCCTAAGTAAAAGAATTATTGGAATTGTTTTCACAGCATAAAATGCTTACTAGTAAGCAAAATGCTGACATTTCTTAGAGGTCACATATATACACGCATATCGCAGACTAAATACAGAGGAATGCGACATTCAAAACCTATTCAAGGCTGAGAAATGTTAACGAAGTACAGCATGTAAATGCCTTGTGTTTCTTGTTAAATAACAGCTTTTCTCAAACTTGGTGCATGCAGCATGATCAGTGTATTGCTGATCCTACGGAGAGCGTGTCAGTGTACCTAAACTGTAGTGGTAACCATGGGTCAGCATTGAGCCATGGGTCAGCATTGAGCCATGGGTCAGCATTGAGTCATGGGTCAGCATTGAGTCATGGGTCAGCATTGAGTCATGGGTCAGCATTGAGTCATGGGTCAGCATTGAGTCATGGGTCAGCATTGAGTCATGGGTCAACATTGAGCCTTGGGTCTGCATTGAGTCATAGGTCAGCATTAAGCCATGGTTCAAGATCAAAGGGGGTGGGGGTGGGGGGGTGATTTACTAAAAGCAAATAGGCTTTTCACTTTGTAAGGGGATTTGCACTTAGCAGCGTTAGTTTTCCCCTAGTTTAGTGAATGAGTTGAAGCTTTGCTGACTTCCATGATGTGCAAGCAAAAATACTGTTTTTCACTTTCCTTGCCCATGATTGGGTACCCTTTGCAAAGTGAATGTCCATCACATTCACTAAGCTAAGGGAAACTTCCCCTGTAATGTGCAAGTACCCTAGCAAAGTGAACAGTTGATTTGCCTTTAGTAATTAAAGCCCAGGGTGTCACACAAATATGCTGGAAACGTGCACTCAGCTGCAATTACATGCAATGGGCTCGATGCAATAAAGTTCAATCCTTTAAACACTGCTTGAGAAAATATCATGATCTAAATTATTAGCTTGGTCACATTTTACTAAACTTTACAAAAATATTTTTTTCATGTGAATGCAAACAAAATTAATTGCACAGCATGAGCATGTATCATTGACTCCAGCAAACAGCTAAATAAACTGTTGAAATATATATAAGGGAGCTGTTTTACCATTTAAAAGATTTTTTATTTTGTCCAGTCAGTCTTGACATTTGCACAGTCTTGTTAGAGAGCAGTCAGGTTGGTTACCTTCCCACCCCCAGCCTGTGACTGGATAGTGATGGAGGAGCATATTCCTTGTCAATAAATATACATGTTTGACAAAGCTCAACAAATCCCAGGTGCCAGTTCACCAATGCGACTAGAAATTGCGTCCTGGTGCCTGGGCTTTTGTCAGCCCATTCACCGCACCTTCACTGCACCTGTCTTCTCCGCTGCTTCCTCCAGTAGATGTTGCTGTAGGTCCTCCCACTCTCTCTATTCCTCCCTGTGCATCATGGTTCTCCTCCTCCCTGCTAGTCCCCACGTGCGGTGCTGGAGACAAGCAGGGAGGTGAGCAGGAGGTATTTCACATTTCATCACTAAGTGAGGAGCGCTGGAAAGCTCAATCCACCCCTCCGCCAATTCAGCTCTGCTGTGCCTGTTCTGCCCCCTGCTGCAAGATGCATCCCCTCCAACACAGACCACGGCAGCCGGAACCCAGCGGGGAGGAGAGACCGCTGTGACTCTGCATTCCCTATGTCCCCGCTGCCCCCTCTTCTTATAATAAACTGCCTGCTGCCGATAAGTCTCCCATATTGCAACCGGCAGCAATAGCCAGCCTGCTGATGGCTATTTTAAATTGCAGTAGCCACTAGCAGGCTGGCTATTGCATCCGCCCACAGCCTGCTGTCAATTAACAGAGGAGGACTTGAAGGAGAAATTTTTCCTTCACGTCCCTTCTCTGCTGATTGATAGCAGGTAGTGGGCGGGTGCAATAGCCAGCCTGCTATTGACTATTGCAAATTTGATACCCAATAGCAGGCTGGCTATTGCTCCCAGCCAACTTGTCTGCTATGTTTACATTCAGCTGACTCAGCAGGTAGCTGTCATTTCCCTAGCTAAAAATATTGAAGTGGAAAGACTACTAATTGAAGTGGCCTAATAGACTCCTAATATCACCTTAAAGAGAACCTGTCATCTTTAATGTGCAAAACAAAAAAGGTAAATCAAAAATACCAAAAATAATGTAAAGTCCCCGGCAAATGCGAAACACCTCCGCGAAAAATACCTGGCTCCTAACTTTTTTAGCTGGCTCCTGGATTTAAAGAAAATTTGTCAAGCCCTCATGTATCATACCTGTTTGGCCGCTAGTTCTGCCCTTCCCTATCCCTGTCTGAGGGCTGCTGCAGAGAGGATTACATGAGGCAAATTTATAGTTCAATTCTCAAGTAATATGATAGAGTGAAGCTGGTGACATCCATACCAACCCAATTGCCCAAGCGTTGGAAATCACCAATAAAAACTGAACTCCAGGCTAAAAGCTACATACATACTCAAAAATACATATAGGTGAACTGTCTTAACTACCAAAAGGATTGTAAGTCTGTTCAGTTTTGTGATCCAGAAACCACTGCCACACAGGACAACTAGGTTTCTGACCTCCAAGGCAGTTAAGCTATCATTGCATTTTTAGGATTCACCTACATATAACCCTATACCCTTCTCTTTATAAAAATATATTTAAAGTCAGACCTCTTAACTGGACTGACTTCTGTGGCTTTCGAATGCCCTGGAGTACACAGGTCTGGTGTCTCTGCAATGCTGTACAGCAGTTCATTCTGATACTGTATTAAAAAGTTTTTGTTTTAGTTTTTTTATTTAAAACCTTGCTTAGCTGGAATAATATCACATAGTCGGGCCTAGAGCTGCAGCTAACGATTATTTTCAAAATCGATTAGTTAGCCGATTATTGAGCTTCGATTAATCGGTTAATCGGATAAAAAATAAAATAAAATACATTTTTAAAAATGGCTCCAGTGATGGGACTACTAGTTTGTATTGAGATTGTAGTCCATCACAGGAGCAAGCTTGGAGCGGTGGAAGTAAAAAATAAAAAAAAAAAAGGGTGGTGTGCAATATAGTGAAATGAAAAGTGTAAAATTATATAGCAATGAATGCAGAATGGCACCGGCTATAGAGGAATACAACAAATCCGAGCAATAGTACATTATAGCTGGCGGTATTCGGCATTGCGCTGTATAATGTACTATTGCTGGGATTTGTTGTACACCTCTATAGCTGGTGGTATTCCGCATTGCGCTGTATAATGTATTATTGCTGGGATTTGTAGTCCTCTATACAGCACAATGCAGAATACCACCAGCTATAGAGGGATACAACAAATCTCAGCAATAGTACATTATACATGCAGTGTATAATGTACTATTGCTGGGATTTGTAGTCCTCTGTATAATATACAGCACAATGTACCGTCGGGTATAGAGGAATACAAATCCCAGCAATAGAGCACCAGGTATGGGGGGGAGGGAGTGCAGGCTTACTTGAGCAGTCTTCCAGCAACTTGCTTCTGAAATAGGGCCTGTCTATCGGCGATTGTCATCCCCCCACACCTGCTCCTTCTCCTTACTTGTTCTCCCCGCGTCCCTGTGCCGATGGTGGATGTGGGAGGGCGGTGAGCGTGAGGCAGGGAAGAGGTGTGGCGTGTGGAGCGTGGGTGCTGGCGGGTCTGAGGTGGGGAGGAGGTACGGCGCACATCGCGTGTGGAGCCGTGAACAGGGCCAACTAACCAGAAGCCGATTAATCGATGATTGAAAAAGTTGACAACTTTTTCAATAATCGATTATAATCGATTATGTCGATTAGTTGTTGCAGCCCTAGTCGGGCCTGATTTCTTGAATGCGCTATAAAGACTATCTAGAACAGAAGAAATACATAGTCAATTCAGTTACTTAATGTTCAGAATTTACTGAGCCTGTAAAATAATTTATAGTGAAATATGTCTCTGAAAAGCGCTTGATGCTTAAAAGTACTACCACTAATAAGGACGGTTCTGCCATAATGTTCCAAGTCTGAATAATGAAACATTATTAATAATTAGGGATGCACCGATACTTTTCAGATAACAGTGCTGATACTTGGCCTTTTCATGAGAACTACCAGGGTTGCAGTGGTTGCAGCCGGGATCTGGCTCTGGCACTCCACCACTGTCCTGAAATTATTAATCTGTATTGTTTTAGAAAAACTGTCACATGACAATAAACAAAAATTTATCAGTACTTGTACTTGCAAAAATGGTATCGGTGCATCCCTTTATATATGTTTAATTAAAAAATATCATACATTAAGGCCTTGTTCACACCAAATGCAGAGCAGATCCGATCAGGTTTCTGCACACGGAGTCTAGTCTTTTAGATGCTTTTTTGGCAAAAAAAATAATTTTTTTTTTTACTTTAACATGGGCTTTCAGTGGGTTCCAGGCATTTGCATGCGTTTTTGATGTGTTTGCAGATCCAGAGCAGGTAAAATAGGGCCTGCTGCAGTTTTTTTACCTGCTCTGGACCTGCACACTGCGATGTGAACTGGAGCTAAAAATACCATAGGAATACATTGGACGCAGTTTTGCAGGATGCTGCCCCAAAGAAGCACAAGAGGGGCGCCTTTCCTGGTGCAGATCACT